CGCGTGTCTCTGGAGATGCGCCGGCTGCGAACACCTGTACTCGCATACATCGCACGCGTACGGTTTCTCTCCCGTGTGCGTGCGTGCGTGCGCCTCTAAGCCACTGAGCCGAGAGCACCGATACCCGCACGTATCGCACGCGTACGGATTCTCCCGCGTGTGCGTTCGCATGTGAGTCTTCAGCATGTAGCGGGAGCACGTCCTGTACTCACACACGTCACACGCGTACGGTTTCTCCCCCGCTTCGGTCTGCACGTCTGAGCGAGGAGGAGCAGGAGGAGGAGCAGGAGACGGAGGAGGAGAAAAAGGAGCAGGAGGAGGAGGAGGCGGAAGAGAAGGAGCAGGAGAAGAAAACGGAGGGGGGCCAGAAGAAGCAGGAGCAGGAGAAGGAGCAGGAGAAGGAGGACAAGGAAGAGAAGGAGCAGGAGGAAGAGGAGGAAGAGAAGAAGAAGCAGAAGGAAGAGGAGAAGGTTCCATCGAGCAGGCGGTGATCGAGATCTCTATTTCTCCGAAGATGCAGGTTCCTCTCTCACTTTCCTCCTCGATGCAGTTTCCTCTCTCACTTTCCTCCCTGATGCAAGTTCCTCTCTCAGTCGTCCGCTTTCCTGTGGATAAAAAAATAGAGACCCCGGATAACTTCCCCTGCCTCACAGAGATAAAGTCAGATTCGTTTGCTGCAGGCATGGCACTAAAAATCACGAGTTATACTTAATAGGACAGGACTGCACAAAGAAGAGTAAAGTTTTCAAAATGTTAGTGTGTAGCAAGTTTTCCAGAGTATAGATACACGTGAACTCGATGGAGTCACGTGACCAAATCACCACGGCAACGGCAAAATTACGCCCACAAATTTATAAAGTCAATCACTATAGTGATTTGTTGATTGACCTATCTACAGGAAGTCAGAGACAATATATAAGCAAGAGGCATCTATAAGCAATGTTCGTTCCTTTTCTTTAAATTAATGTAACAATTACAAGAATTCTCAAGTGTTTTCCCCACTTTCACGACACTTACCGTTATTGATAGAGTAACAGCAATTGTCTAGAGTAACGATAAAATGACTTATAAGCTTCATATTTACCAAAACATGCAATTTTCGAACTAGTTTGGCAAACGAACGTTTGTTGTAATCTTAGAACTAGTGTTGATAGGTTTTCTCAGCTAATAGCGCCACCTATCTGCCATAGACATACAATCTATCTCAAATGCAATTGTTTTCAAATCCGGCGGCAAATTACAAGTTTACACATTTAACGAATCTCGCGGCTCAATGTCATTTTCATTGTGTTCATGTGTTCATATCCAATTTTCTATGTTATAACTGCATAAAATCCTGGTGTTTTATTAATGTTGGTGAAATCAGTGTGAGGTGAGACTATATTTCGCTATATTTTTTCGGATTGAGCGTTTCTGAGCAAAAATCTAGTAGTAGTCAGTTCAATAAAATTTGCAAAAATTGATGAAATAACTCTTCATTTGATTTGTGTGTACTTATTTTGGTTAGTTTACACCTTGGAGACAGTAAATCTATCCTACAGGAAACATAACCATGAAAATTTAGAACACCTCACGCACAACTTTAGTTGGAATTCAAGAAGCGTGCGTGGGATGTTCGTACGCACAGGTTAGCACAGGTTCCTGCATGAATCCAGACTAAAGCAGCGTTGGCATACCAAAAATCTATAAGAAGTAGGTGGAGCTTACTTTTGGCCAGTGGCAGTAAACCTTACATTGTGTTGGCCAGGGTTTATTTACGTGCACAGGTCGTGCGGCACGTTCACTGTTCACGTGCGCTAGGTTGTGGAATAATTCACACATATATTGACATCCCCCCGCATTTCACGTTTGGATGTAAACAATAAAGTATCACTGGTAGTTAACAAACGATCAGTATACTGTTTT